CACGTGCTGCCCCCTGTGTTTACTATATTTTTTCTATACATACATACCTCTGATAAAGTTTTCTCTATGAATTAGGTATAATATGAGATCAGCAACAGTAACCAATAGTAAAACAGAACAATTATAACAATATGCTGTACTAAAAGTTATATAAATGGGGTCTCTTTCTCTTAAAATGTCTTATGGTACTAAAGTCACTTTTCTTGTTGGGATGACATGAGGTGATAAAATGCCTCTGATGAGATGACGTGCAGATTCAGCCGTGGAACTCCGCTTTAGGCTGCCTCGCGCGCGTCCTCTTCTGCACTGCTGGTGATTTTAGAGCTGTCTCGGTGTACGTGAGAGCAAACCTGGAGTAATGACGCTGAGGTTTGCTGGCTTAACCAGAAGCTGCCATGGGTGAGATACCTGTAATATGTCAATGCAAAAACCGTTTTTCTTACTATGTTATTTATCTTTTCAGGGTGGCCGAAAAGTTGAATTTCCTACAGACCCAAAGGTAAAAAAATACATATGTTTGAATTTTATTCCCACTCCATTCCACACAGATAATATTTGTGTGATTCTATATATCTGCCTCTATAAAACACACTTGCAGCCAAAGGAAGTCCCAGCTTACACGCGGCATCCTTCAGGCCGGGAGATACACTAGTGGCACTTGTCATCATGAACAGACTGTGTACCCATGGCTCAAAGGCCCTTTGTCGTATCAGTTGTATAATTCATGGCTGTGTGTACTAATTGCAGGGCCTGCTGTTGACTGCCAGTTAGCCGGGACTAAACTTTCTTTTTAAGACAACTTCTCTTACTCCAAAATGCTCTCTGTGCTATTTTTACTTTGCACACCTATGACACATAGGTTGATCTAGTGTTTGTTTCATTTGAAAGCGAATGTGAAAGTTTCATTGAAAGTGGAATACCTTGGTTCCTTAGTTGGATCTTAGCCGAGTTCTAAATATCAGTTCTAGACACTGAACAAAAACCAGTTATTTATAAACTGTCTTTTGAACTTTAGCTTTGGGTTTTACCATATCAGGAAAAAAAACTCTTCATTTTTAAAATCATATTAAGAGACATGGTTGTTTAGTTAATTTTTTTAGAAATATGATTAGAAAATATTCATTTGTGTTGTAAGACTTAGTGCCATTAAATGGTTGATGTAATAATTAGCTATTGAGGTCTTTAACTTCTTACACATTACTGGTATATGTCATTTCTGCTACAGGTAGTTATTTATGAAAAGCCTTTCTTTGAAGGAAAATGTATGGAACTAGAAACAGAAATGTATAATTTTACTGTGGAAGGAGCTGGAACAGAAGAAGGAAGTGGAGATGAATGTTTGCCATTCACTTCGGTGGGATCGATGAAAGTTCTGCGAAGCATGTGAGTAGATACGCGTGACCTGCAAAGATCTCTCTCTTATTTTCCCTTCGATAACGTGATAAACATACCTTCCTCCTCCAGTCCCTCCCCACTACAAAGACAACATTCCAGATTGTATCGTAGAGCGACTTCAAGCATGTTCTCAGTCAGTTGGGACCTGGATTTGACCGAACAGCTTGAGGGACTAGTTTGGGGTCAGTCAGCCGTGCAGGGCTGATAAATTAGCCAATCCAGATTGGTCATATCTACACTTTTGTTTATTAAGAGTATATTCCGAACTATAGGACTGTTAGTTTGCATTCTGTTTTTTATGATTGTATTTTGAACTTTATAGACCTTACTGATTCCCTCTAGAAGTATACACTGAAGGTAATCTTGCAAATAACCATAAATATATATGACTTAATTACTGTTCAAAGAAGTTTATCCACATTTGTTTGCTGAAGCTCTTTTGAGTCAGTTCTTATTAAATACACACACACTCCCCTATATAGTCCTTTACAGAACATCGATGTTATGTTTCTCAGGTTGTCATCTTGGGGCCATTCTGTTAGTCTCTGAAATTGTAGAGGAGAATTCCCGTAGTCATTATGCACAAGTCCGTGTCCAGCTTTGTGACTCTGTATTTGTTGATGAAACTGCTGTATGGATGACAACGTTTCTGACATTACTGAAAGTCACTCCCCCTTCCTGTCGCTTCTGCCGCAGCTGGGTGGCTTATGAGAAGCCTGGATTTATGGGTCACCAGTATTTGCTGGAAGAGGGAGAATACAAGGACTGGAAGGACTGGGGAGGTTACAACGGAGACCTGCAGTCTTTACGACCTATATTAAGTGTAAGTTGAAAAAAAAAACAAAGCTATCGGCTAATTGGTCTTTTTTGGATGCTCAATGGCTTGCCTTTGAACTTTGAATTTTTTTTCTCAATAGGATTTTTCAAATGCTCACATGATAATGTACAGTGAAAAAAACTTTGGATCCAAAGGTTCCAGTATTGATGTATTAGGAATTGTTGCTAATTTAAAGGAGACCGGATATGGATTGAAGACACAGTCTATTAATGTGCTGAGTGGAGTGTAAGTGAAATGACCCAATCAGGATCGGAGACACGGGTTCACCTGGTTTTGAGCCTCTGACACGGAGTAGAACATATAGTGTGTATGTGTTTATATATATATATATATAGTAGCATATATGTATAATTAATAGAATATGTGTATATGTAAGTATCTCAACAACTAAACATTAAATCAGCCATTTAATACATATTTCCACCATATTTTCATAACTGCTTTTTGACCTCTTTCTCCTATGATCTTTTTCTCACGTGGAACGTATCATTGGAGGGAAAATCTTCAGGTCCACCTCCGTGTCATTCCACATGAAGAGAGCTCTTGGGTGTCTCATGATGGGAATCAAATAATAATAGTGACCTGACCTTACAGGCCTGAGGTCAGGACAAAGCCCCCTCCGACCTTCCCGTGGTCCTGCACCTGCTTCTTTCTTCTTCTTCACTATTATTTTAACATAAGACTAATTGTTTCAGTGTACCTGGAGTTAGCAGTTAAATGCTTTGTTAATGCTAAAGTAAGTTTTTACTGAAAGATGATCAGTCAAGACTCCTTGGGATGCAAGTGACTACAAGCCAACCTAAATTGGCATAAGAGGTAAAAACGGAGTTTATTGGCCTGTGTAACCGAAAAGTCCCGGAGAAGCTTTGCCTCAGTCATGGCTGGACACAGGAGGTCAGCCTCATCGGACTTGGTCTGCATCTTGCCTGGGCTTTTTTCTGTGTTGGCCTCACTCTAAGCAGCCCCTTCCATCTGGGGGGGCCTGTGGCAGCATCCTGGGGTCTTTCATTCTCCTACCTTACTGCTTCCAGCAGAAGGAGTTACTCTATCCTAAGGAAGTTCCAGGTTTGACTTTGACCCTGAATGCTTGGGTCGTGTGTGCCCGTCTGTAACAATCACTGTAGCCGAGGAGGTGACCGTCCGCACCTGTTATGGGCCCGTCCCTGGAGCTGAGACGTG